CAAATTTATGTGCAGTTCTCAAATTGTTTGTCTTTACTGATGCTAAATTAGCTCTTTCAGTTCTGGGTATTTGACCGTGCTTTCCTTGTCTCTCAATTCAGTTTGTCTACAAAAAGCTCATGTTTGATGCAGAGCTCATCCTGTCTTGGGAGAATTATTCATTCTTCCTCTTTCCCCAGCTTTGAAGAACCAAAAATTTAACGAAGCAATGTGAAACTGAAGCAATCTTTGTGATTTCCTTTAATTGAAAACTACTGCCAGTATGACAATCCTGGCTAGTAATTAAGGGAATTTGACAGCTTTGCCAGTTGTTACATAAATACTGTGGAGCACAGGGCTTCCTACTGTCGTTAGCTGCAGTGAACACAATGGAGCTATACACAGGAGCGAGCACTACTCTGATGATAAATATTTGCATTTCCAATTAGCACTGAACTGTTGTAGCATTTCCCCCTCAGTCTAATTGAAGCTCTTGGATGGCTTCATCTGCTAACGATGCTTGTGTTATCTGCTTGCTCTTTAGTTTCCCAGGGAGAAAGGAGTTGGATGAGTTTTGCTCTTAAAAACACTGGTTTCCTCTTTGCAGGTCTCTGTCTTGGTGTCTTTTCAGAAAAAAATCAACTTTTACAGGTTAATGCAAACTTTCTGCTCTTTACATACTGTGGCTTTTTGCTAACCGCTGCATTATGGTGTCCTCTGGGCGTGTGGGGAGCTGCTGACTTGACCTGACTATTCTAGTTTTCTGACAAATTTCTTACCCCCACCCCCATTGCTAAATGGCAAATGTCAAACCTCTGCATTTAACAAGGTGAAATTTTTGCAAGTACTGATGTGTATTTAAAACGTGACTCCGTTGTGCTAGGAGTTACTCCACGTTAGGGGATAGCAGGGTTTAATTCTGAGCCCTGTTGCTTTATGTTCATGTTCTGGATCGGAAACTTTTGAATGGAAAAATGATTAATGATTTGGCTGCTTTCAGTTGCTGCTAATGTGTAGTTTGGACTCAGAGCCAAGCAACTTAGGTGCAGAGTAACGGGGGTGTGTTTAGCTGCGTGTGTTAAGATGTTATTTTTCTTTTACGCTGCATCTAGTAATTTCCTCTGGAACACAGATTTCCTCCAGGAAACCTGCTTATATAGGCTTTTGGGTAAGCTTTAACGTAAGAGGCCTCTATTTTTTCCCCCCCTGCTTAGCAAGCTCCAACTCTAGTCACTACCTTGACTTGTACAGTTGAAGTCCTGCCTTCCTGTGAGTGAAAGTGGAACCAGAGCCAAGACTGCTCCGTACCACGCTGGAGAAGGGAGCCTGTCCTGACATCTGCAGCAGCGAAGTTGCTTGTTCAGGCATGTAGCTGGGGGAGGGGAGACAGCACTTCTGGAGATGAGGAAATAAAGAGGATGATTTGTGGGCTGAGAGCTTTTAAAAACGATACTCTTGGTTCCTTCTGTCTCAGCTTGGATCTTCTTACTTCCCCCCCCCTTAAATATGGATGCAATTTATTTCTCTTGGGCTGTTTAAAAGTGCTGTTAGAATGGGGTAAGTGCTCGGTCAAAACGAGCAGGCTGCTGCTGAGGGATGGAAACAGCTGGAGCTGGTCTCTGCAGTGGTCGAAGCTTGAGCTGCCCAACTGGAGCACAAGTAAGGTGAGTTCATCGTGTACTCCAGGTACTTGGGCATAGCTGGCAGTGATTGTGAAATGGTTATTATGTGATACTGCCAGTTATTCGTCAGACAACCAAAGCTAAGTTAAAACATGTCATATGAGAAGCGGCTGAGGGAACTGGGGGTGTTTAGTCTGGAGAAGAGGAGGCTGAGGGGAGACCTCATCGCCCTCTACAGCTCCCTGACAGGAGGGTGCAGAGAGCTGAGGATGAGCCTCTTGAACCAAATAGTAAGTGATAGGACAAGGGGTAATGGCCTCAAATTGCACCAGGGAAGGTTTAGACTGGATATTAGGAAGCATTTCTTTGCAGAAGGGGCTGTTGGGCGTTGGAATGGGCTGCCCAGGGAGGTGGTGGAGTCCCCATCCCTGGAGGGGTTGAAGAGTCGGGCTGACCCAGCGCTGAGGGATCTGGGGGAGTTGGAAACTGTCAGTGCTGGGTTAATGGTTGGACTGGATGATCTCCAAGGTCCTTTCCAACCTAGATGATTCTGTGATTCTGTGAAACATGGCAGTTTTAAACTGGTGTTGCCTCTCTGCAGTTTTGGATTCAAGCCTAATCTGTTGGAAAGGGTCTGACCTGCCTCAGTGCTGCTGCAGCGCTGTGTGTCCAGCTTACTGTCGTGGTCATACATGGGCCCACACCGTGAAAGCTGGCAAAAGCTGGGCCTTGATTATTTAAAACAAAACAGAAAGAAGCTTCCTTAACTTGAGTGAAAGGAGAACTCGTCTCTGTTGCTAGGAATCGAGCAGTTATAATTAGTCTGTTCTTCTTTAGAAGCATATCTGTGCGGTAGGATGGATTAGCACATATATCTGCCCAGGAGGAGATTTTGCAGCTCTCCTGCCCAGAAGTAGTGCCTGCTGCAGTGATGCCCATGTCTCCTGCAAAAAACCACAGACTAGGGAATCCCACCCAGCAGTTCTTGCATTTAGCCCAAACGGTGGGAGTTGAATTAAAGGCTTTTTTTAAAAGGACCCTCCAGTCTTTCAGCTTTTAACATTCCGAGCCATGGAGTCCTCCAGCATTCTTGTTGAGTTGTCACTGGTCAGTCTTCCTTTATGTCTAGCACTATGGAAATAATGCTGGCAGCAGAGCAAGACTGCAACCAGTAGTTGGCCATCTGCCATGAGAGTGTCTCCCTTCCCCCTCCTCACACCCACCCACTCTGGCTGTGAGTACATTCTCTTCTAAATGTGTACGTATTTTTAGTGATTATTGTTTCATTTAATTTAGCGACTCCATGTGCATCTCTAGGTGTTGGCAGAACCTGCAGGGGTTTAACAGGTAAATTCTAAAGATAGATGAGCAAACACTGCTGTTTCGTAATTCTTTCTTTATTAGAACTTTATGAAAAGCTGGAGGGTTTTTTTTAATTCACATGTAAATGTTGGGGTCTGGGCTGATGCATTGATGGCCCTTTACTGTTTAATTGGCACATTTGCACAGCACGCAGATGTGCAGTAACTGGCTGGGGAGACAGCTAGATGCTACAGCTTCTGCGTTTTTTTTAATCACCTCTTAATGTGACGATTGTCTGTTCTCCCTCAGGGTGTGTGTGTTGCTGCTGCCCTTTTCTGTGACAGTGTGTGTCCCAGATGCCATTCCCTGTCAGGTGGAGGAAAAGGACACCTCTTGCCTCTTTTTTAGGTGGAACATGTGTGAGGTGCCTTTCCTTCGATATGAGACTGTGTTTGAGACTTAATCCCACATAAAGTAATAAAAAATGAATGAGTGTCTTTTCATCCTGTATCGAAACCCAGCTGGTAAACTCTGCGTTAAATTTTCTGCTGGGATTTGGACGTAAGTGTGACACACAGGGAGGGAATCTGCTGCTTGCAATGTGTTTGAACAGAGCAGGGGACTGTCTGTGCTCCTTCCCACCCAGGCAGTGCAAGGAGGAAAAAGGAGATTGCTGGGATACTGGTGCAGAGGTAAAACGCTCCTTCTGATCAGGATGAGCTCACGATCAACTCAATGAAAGGTCAAGACTCCTTTTGCCTTTTTTGTGGGCAAGACACCCTTTGCTCACATTGGCAACAACAGAAAAATAGCATCTTGGAAAAATGTAAGATTTGCTTCTGGTAGTAGGCAGAGAGAGAAAAGCAGTTACTGAGCATCTCCCTCCCCCTTCTCTTGTTTAATATAGTTTATTCATCTGTAAGTTGTAGTGAGTAACTTACAGCTACTGTCTTGCCAGACTGCATGAATTATAGATGGCTCTTTTATGAGTCTTCGTGTTGACTCCAGCAATTAGTATGCATTGGACATAGTTATCTTTATGGCATCTACTGTAGCGTAGGTTTCAGCTCCTCTGACTTTTTAATTGCTTTCTGTTTTAGCAATCAGTCATCTGCTTGTCTTGCTAAGCAATGCAAAGAAAACACAACCAGCTTGATAGAAACTTTTAGTTCAGTGTGGAGCGTCAGGTTTAAATGATGTGGTTTACCAGAAGGAAAATTTTTTTTTTTTTTTTTTTTTTTTTTTTTTAAATTCGTTCGTGTGTGTGTGTTTTACACAGTAGTGCCAGAAGGCTCCACATATGTTGGGGTCCCACTCTGCTAGATGAATGGCTGAGGAGCCTGTGCCTGTATTACAGGAAAACTACAGGCATAAACTTGATGATTTTGAGCCATATCTACTGAACGCAGATCAGCAGCGTTGTGCAGATCTTTGCACATCTGTACTGTGAACTTTTGGACTCTGCTGTTGGCACCTGTGGGTGCTGTCTTTGCTCAGTACCTCCACTTGCTCTGTCTTGAGCTGCCAAGCGGTTTCCTGAGTCTCTTGTCCCCTCGTGTGTGGTTGTCTGTCACTCCTTCCTGTCTGCAGAAGTTTTTTTGTAGGTGTGAAAGAAATGTTTCTCAGGTCTGCTGTTTGCCTCTGTGGAGGCTGGTGTAATCTAATTTAGCTAATGGGTTTACAAAGTTGATGGAGAGGGGCAGGGAGCATGTGAAGGCCACTAACTTTGCTTATGGCAGTCACAGGTTGTTGTATGTAGTAAAACTTTTCATAAGTACTGTGTGCTGAAACAACTCGAACTTTCAGTACTCCCAAACGGCTGCAGAAACAACAGCCCTACATCACGACTATGCCTTCCTAGTAGTGTCTGTGGGGTTTGGTGTGAGTGCTGGTATTTTAATATATATGGTAGTTGAGAATCATTGTGTCTGAAGCTAAAATGTATTCCCTAATCTGGCTGCAGTTGAAAAGTTCATGTGCTCTTTCATTGCTTCTACCGTTCACTTAATCATACTGTGGAAACATAAGATGAATCTCGGTCCAGTGACGCTTTGCATTCCTGTTAGGATGGATCGTGCTGAGCAGAGTGACTCACTTCAGTGTCCCAGCACTGATGTTATGCCGCCTGCTGAAGCAGTTGCCTGGTGCTCTGGATTTGAGCAGGGCCTATACAAGGGGTGTTGTTGAAAGCCTACTTACGTGTCAATTGGCAGGAGATTATTTTAGGAGGAAGAGAATTTGCACAGTCAACAAGGCAAGGGGTGAGAGCGCTGCCTCTGTAACCACTCGGTATGGCTCTGTGCTCCGGGAGTTCAGTTCTGCTGTAAAGCCCCGAAGAGGTGGGTGTCATTCTGTCAGGACAGGCTTTCATCCACATACTTTGAAGCCAACAGAAGTTTCAAGTGTAATGGTGTTGAGTTTGAGTCTCTCTATCACAGTGGGAGGACTCACGTAAGCAGGTTTTTGGTTTTCCCTTTAAATATGTAGTGGAAGAAGGCTTTGGGGAACTCTCTAGCATAGTGCTGCTATTACAGGGGATAACTTCTGTAGAACCAGACTCTCAGTTTTGTGGGTTAAAGGATTTCTCTTACACCTCCCCCCCATCTCCAAACAGATTAAATAGCTCTTGTGACTCCAAATGTAAAACCTGGAGGAGGAGGAAGGTCTGGGGGCTTGAACAATGGAGAAGAGAGGGGTACCCCATAGGCTTTGCCCACATGAAGGTTACAGTTATCAAATAGTTACAAACAATGTTGTTTGTTAAACTACGTAACTTCTCAGCAGTTACTTGCTCATTCAGGGAATAATGTAAGATAAACAAGAGCTTGTACTGCCAGTGTTTCTAGCCCTGTGGTAAAATAGTAATTCACTTGTGCTCTATCCTTTCCGACTGAGGGATTTTGAAAAACCCTCTCGTATTGAAGAAACTGTGAGCACATGTCCCTGGGGTTTTGCACTGGTGGAACTGAGAGTGAGGATGCTTGACATACAGAGGTTTTTCCTTTGTTTTCATGGCTGGGTTTTTTTTTTTTCCTTCTGTTCTTTTTCCTTCACCCAGCACTAGGCCAGCTTCTGCCTGTAATTTGGGGTGTGTGTGTTTCTTCTTCTTCTCACTTCTTTTTCTCCAGCTTGGAGCCACATGCTGCTCTTTTCCTTGTACTGCCCTTCAGTCTGATGTTGCATCTATTCCCCAATATGGTAAACTTTACGCTGTCACCCTGCCTAGTCCTGTGCCTCTGACAGCACACCTCACTTGCTCACCTCTCTGCTTGGTAGCTGTGGTGGGTTGACCCTGGCTGGATGCCAAGTGCCCACCAAAGCTGATCTATCACTCCCCCTCGTCAACTGGAGAGGAGAGAGAATATAATGAAATATTTGTGGCTGGAGATGAGGACAAGGAGAGATCATTCACCAATTACTGTCACAAGCAAAACAGTCTCAACTGGGGAAGAGTAACTTATTTTTTTGCCAGTCGAATCAGAGTAGGGTAATGAGAAATGAAACCAAATCTTAAAACACCTTCCCCCCCCCACCCCTCCCTTCCTGGGCTTTGCTTTACTCCTGATTTCTCTGCCTCTTCCATCTGAGAGGTGCAGGGGGACAAGGGATCATGTCATCTCTGCTGCTCCTTCCTCCTCAGGGGAGGAATCCTCACACTCTTCACCTGCTCCAGCATGGGGTCCCTCCCACAGGAGACAGTCCTCCATGAACTTCTCCCACGTGAGTCCTTCCCAGGGGCTGCAGCTCTCCATGAACTGCCCCAGCGTGGGTCCCCCACGGGGTCACAAGTCCTGCCAGCAAACCTGCTCCAGCATGGGCTCCTCTCTCCATGGGGCCACAGGTCCTGCCAGGAGCCTGCTCCAGCGTGGGCTCCCCACGGGGTCACAGCCTCCTTCGGGCATCCCCCTGCTGCAGCGTGGGCTCCTCCCCGGGCTGCAGGTGGGTCTCTGCTCCCCCGTGGAGCTCCATGGGTGCCGGGCACAGCTGCCTCCCCATGGGCTGCCCCACGGGCTGCAGGGGAACCTCTGCTCTGGGCCTGGAGCACCTCCTTCCCCTCCTCCTGCACTGACCTGTGTGGCTGTTGCTCTCATGTATTCTCACTCCTCTCTCTTGCTGAAATTCCTCTCCCAAAAAAGGGGAGGAGGGTTTTTTTCCTCCCATTTTTAAAATAAGTTATCCCAGAGGCTCTACCAACTGTTGCTGATGGCCTTGGCCTTGGTCAGCAGTGGGTCTGTCTTGGAGCTGGCTGACATTGGCTCTCTTGGACACAGGGGAAGCTTCTGTCAGCTTCTCACAGAAGCCACCCCTGTAGCTCCCCCACTACCAAAACCTTGCCACACCAACCCAAGACAATGGGAGTGGGACCCAGCAATGATGCAGCCCCTCTCTGCCATCTTAGCCATGCCTGCAGCTGCAGAAAGTCTGACTGGTTGGGGAACATTTGAATGCACCTTTATTTAAACCCCTCTGGGGTAAACCAGAGTGTTGCAGAAGCAAATGTGGTGCCTGCTCCTGGGGAGGGCCATTTGGCAGGCTGCTTCCCTATTTGCAGCATATTCGTAGCACCTTCCAGGCAGTGTGCTTTCTCACGGTTAAATAAGCATCAGTGCAAAGAGTACAGCTCTCATGTGGCACTTCTGCTGAGGTTTTTCCAAAGGCTTCACTTCTGCCAGTTCAGGACCAGCCACTGACTGAGATGTGCAAAGCTCATCAGTGAGGTCTCAATATCTTCATGTCACACAAGATATGTGCACAGCAGTGGCTGCCAGATTTACCAGTTGGGTTTTAGTTTAGACTTTTTTTTTTTTTTTTTTCCCCCCACCCTGCTTAGACGGGGAGAGAGTCATTTTGTACCACTTCATGGCTGGCACTCCAGCTGTCACTTAGTTCTGCTCCGTTTTATACTGGAGAATGGCATGAGGCTGAAGCCTGAGTGATGGGAGATGCACGGGGCACCTGCCAGAACACACCCAGACAAATGCACAGCTAATTTCCCTCCACCCCACCCAAATGCCAAAACTGTCCCACTGTTAAAATCAACACCCCAAATGCTAGTCTGTCATTTAAAATTCCATCACACAGCTGTACTGGGAGGAATTGGGGCTGGGGTCAAACCTCTTCTAGAGCTCCCTGGGTGTAAAGGCTTGTTCAAATCCTTATGGGCTGTGCAGTACTCCCAGCCCTCCTGTTCAAAAGCAAGTGTGAAGAAACCAGGAAGCAAAGAAGCTGAGGAGAAGGTGGAGCTACAGACCAGCCATGGTTTGGCAGGCAACAGCTAGGGAACTGCTGCTTTCAGCTAAGTCTGACATGTTGATGTTGCTGAATGCCTTCCACGGGCAGCATTTGCCTTTCTTAGCTCCCAGCAGCTGTGAGAGCAGCGTGCCCTGGGTCCAAATCTTCTCAGTTCTGCTGAGCATCAGTAGCTTGGCTAAAGAAGATTTTGAAGGCTGGCTGGGTGGTGTGTGGTCATAGGACTGTGGTATGGTTGTGGGATCTGTTTGGAGTGTGACCCCAGTGTGGTTCCTCTGAGTGCATCCTATGGAAAAGCAGCTCTCTGGAAGCCAGCAGTCATCTCTGCTTTGTAACTGGACTTCTCACTTGTGGAGAGCAAACCACTTTTGACTTTCTGCTGCTGAACAGTTCTCCCTGAGCAAAACATCATCCCTTGCTGTTTGTGAAGTTCATAAAGCCGTTGGACTGCTTTTTCTACCCAAGCAGAAACTGTTCCTGCTTTGGTCTTTGTTCTGCAGTTAACTCCCAACTTTCTTCTGAGAATGTAATGCAGACTAATTCCAGTTTCCAGAAGGATCTCACTGCAGCCCAGCTGCGTCTGGAGTGATGCTGATCTCATTTGGGTGGAACAAGCTAGTTGTTGCAGAATAATCTATTACCCTTTCCCAAAGCTTCCGTCTTTAAATCTGCACAGCAGGGATTATTTACTTAAGGATTTATGTGTGTGTTGGGGATCTAGTTTTGTTTGACCCTTCCAGCAGAACAAAACACAGTCAACTTTCTGGTGGTTTGAATTGTGCCTGAAGCACGCTGCTGCTGCAGAAGGGCCAGGACAGGCTTGGGACTAGCAAGGGCTGTGGCACCGCGTCTGCGATGACGTGGGTACAGCTCTGGGACTTCCCAGCCATCTCTGCCTCTGAACCAGTTCAGCAGCTTTTCAGGAAAGGAGCCTGAACAGCTGCATAAAACTCTTCCAGTCTCTCTCTCTTATGCCATACTGGAGACTGATGCAAACCTTCTGACGTATTTTTTTAGTGGAACTAGCATGGATCTGAGAGGTTTTATGAGCTCAACAACTTGTTGGCTCATCTCAGTTATCCCTGCTCTTTGCTACCTCATATTTATTGCTCTGCCCTGACATTACACTACTGCTCCATGGTTTGCTTGAGAATTAGTTTTATCTTAAACCAGGCTTTTCTTAATGATCAGTAACTCAAATGCTTGTACGTAGTCTTGTTCACAGAAAACATTTGGAGCTTGAGTAGAATTTGTTGTGCTGACGCTGGGTCTGTGTTGATATGATGTTACAGGCTGGTCTGCAAATACCTGCTTGTGGTTTATTTGGCAGTGTGGGATTCTAGTTAACAAAAAATAAATAAGGCTTCTTATTTCTTTTCTTTTCTGTATTCCTAGTAACGGCCTCCCCAGCTGAAGATGTCTAACAATGGAGTTGAAACAGAAGACAAACCGCCTGCTCCTCCAATGAGAAATACCAGCACTATGATTGGATCAGGAAGCAAAGACGCTGGGACTTTAAACCATGGCTCAAAACCTTTGCCTCCCAACCCAGAAGAAAAGAAAAGGAAGGACCGATTTTACCGATCTATTTTACCAGGAGATAAAAGTACAGTATTTTGCCCCTTCTTATAAACCACCTGTCTGAATGTTGCTCTGAATGACCTTAGTTGAGCACCTGATGCTTAGCGATGGTTTAAGTTTTAGGAAATGGTGTGTTTGTTTCCTTCACAACTGCCCTTGCCACATATAATCCATCCTGATTGCTCTGTTTTGTGCTTGGTTTTGCTTTTTTCTTTGTCTCCTTAAATTACAAGAATAGTGTCCCTGAATGCTGGGACTAGCTCTCACACTTCCAAGCCCGATTTGTCCTTAATGGCCTTAAAATCATAAAGCTGTGTACCAATTACAAGGTGGCCAATTAAAGCTGGCATTGGCAATTCCTTTGGTGGGGAGCAGGGGGAGGTCTTCTGCTTGTTTGTTGTTTTAAACAAAAAATAATTTGAGTTAAACATGACTAACAGGCCGTCTCCTGCTAGGCCAGTCATATGTTACTGCATGGACATTTACTCTGTTCTAGTGTTTGGGTCAGGCATTGTCTACTGGCTGTTAAGAATAATCGGTTACTGCAAATTCTTGTACGTTTCTTGTGAACTGAAGGAATTTTCTTGTGTTATAGGGACTGTAACAGATAGAAATGGAGATAGGACCTGTGATCTGTACATGAAATTCTAGTTTTTAAGATCAGGATATTTAAAAAACACCTCTCAAATCTTTTGAAGCGATGTAAGGAAAAAAAAAACCCTCTCTGTCCCCTAATATGTGCTGGTTTCTTTTTATATCTGACCTATTTTTGGAGTTCCTCTTTCTAAATCATCAGCTTTTTGTGAAGTCTGCATTGCAATTCTATCTGGACACTGGGTACCTAAAGTCAAGCCTAGGTGCCTTCAGCTTCCTGGGCTTCAGGGGGGAGGCTGCCTCCTTCATTTTTGTTTGCAAGAAGACTAATTGGAGTGATAATTTCACTAATTTAAATACCCAAGATGTAAGTTCATTTTCTACAAGACATTGCAGCGTTCATTATTATTATTATCTGATACCTTTGGCAACTTTGGATCGTTCTACAAATACGGAGTTTTGATTCTGCAATCCAGAAGCCCATGAACTCTGTGATAAAAGTTTGCTGGCTCTCAGTTAGAACTTGCCATGATGAGTATTGGTCCTGAAAAGCTGCAGGATTTTTGTGTTGACTTACTTAAGGGAGTGAGGGTTTTAAATCTCTAGGCTCAACAGTTGCAGAGAACAAAGAAATCACCTGAAACTTATAAGAGAGTAAAAGAAATACAACCTGAAATGCTAGTTTGAACTGGATTTTAAGGGAGAGCTGCAAAAGTGAACGGTTTCGGTAAAATCAGCAGACAGACTGCCACTGATTTGAAGAGGCCTGCATTTACTGAAGATTGGCCAACATGGCAGATGCTTCGAGACATGAGAGATTTTTGTTTAGCCAAGCCCAGCAGAGCCTTCTGTTGCAATACACCTGCCCGAACAAAAATGGTTACTTCTGTCCTCTAATTCCTGTCAAACAAAAAATACCTTTAACACTGTCACCTTCACTTCAGAATGGTTGATTTTCATCTTATGAAAACTTCTAATTTTGTGATGACAGCTAAATTCCCAGTGCTTTCTGCTGCTTAAATGTTAATGAAATTCCCAGGTGCTCAAACACCTGTCTTTGGTTTGTGCCTGAAGTAATTTGTTTATTTGTTAGTTTGGCTGGACTAAAAGGGGAGTTGGTTTAAATTCAGATGGAGCAATGTAATTTGGGGCAAATCCATTACCTTTGGACCTTTCTCCAGGGAAGCCAGTGATTTGTGTTTTAACTTCTCCTGGGATTGTAAAGAGCCTGTGAAGATCCAGAATGCTTGGTGGTTAATTCTGCTACAAATATGGATGTGGGCTCTTACATTGTCGCATGGGAGCTGCTGAAGTTGATGTTGTCAGTCCCTTCGGAGAAGTGGGAGCTCTTTCCTCTGTGCAGGGAACAGTACTGGAGCAGGCACTTCATGAAGGATGGGTGGGAAAGGTGGTGAAGAGATTGTGCTTTATGCAAAGGTGCAGCTCAAACACGTGGAGTACTGCTGTGGAGCAGGCAACAGACCCGTTGAGAGCTTGTAGGTCTGGATCAGAGAGGAGGCCAACAAGGGGGGACACCCTGAGAGCATCTTTTACAGGTCACTGGGTCAAGAAGGGTGGTTCTAGCTGAAGGTGCTTTGGAAAGTGTCTTTTCCATTGTGGTACTCCTGTGAATGAACAGATCTGTGGTCTGAAGGACACCTGGGGCTTAAATCCTGGGCCAGTGACAATTTGCCAGTGACCAGGAGGCCTTTCCGTGGTGACAGGGGCAGCACTTTATTTGACTGTACCAGTGGAGAAGACCTTTCTCATCTCAGTATGCTTCAGGTTGTGCTCACGGGCTTACTTCATGGTGGGACATCGTGCTTCCTAGTTGCAACCCAAATTGCCAGAGCACGGTAAGAAAACTATGGTTGGCTCTTGTAACAGCATCAGACATGTGAGGTTTACAGTGAGAAAGGTGGTAAGGTGTATGTGGGAATAAAGCATTTGCTGGTAGGTAAGCCTTCTTAAACAGATGTATAATTTTTCTTATTTATTTTTTAATTTTAAGATTCTTCAAGGCTTTTTGACTCATTGCAAGGATAATCACTGTAGAAGGGGATTAAGTGTTCAGCAAGATTGGGAGTGCTCATCTCTTTAATTCTTTTTATCTTATACCTCCTGCTATGACATAATTACTTTTTGTAGCAGATATTTATGTTATTAATGGCTTTTAGATCTGTCAGATTTTGGATCAAAAGCCTCTGAAGTTCATTGTCCTCTGAGACTGCTGGAGGAAAATCACTGAATTCATGTGCCAGCTTTGTGTGTGTTCACACGATGGTGAATTCAGTCTATAAAACCCTGAGTGTGGCAGGCAGGCAGACTGAAAAAAGTGAACAAAGCAATAAAGGTTTCACCTGCTGTAACGTTATTGCTAAGGCAAAGTGATTTTAGTGTGAGTTTGTGGTAGCTGCCCCAAAGAGTTGTTGAGAGTCAGGGAAAATGCAAAGGGTTGGGATGCTGTAGGAAATGGCTGCAGGAAATTAAGATAACTGGGAGAACATTAACTGCTTCAGGGGTATGAAAACAATGAAAGTCATAAATGCAGAAAAATCTCTTCCTGTTTCTATATTGCAGTGTAGTCATACTGAAACTCCCTACTGATGTATTGAGCAGAGCGCTGAAGTGTTGATGTGACAGAGGCCATTATGTTATTTAATCAGTCCCTCCAGAACTGTTTTTATTGCTCTGTGTAGCTGAGGCTCGTTCAGGCCATCATCTCCTGCTTTGGATAAGTTAGCAGTCAGCAGTCCTCTCAGTTTGCTGGTGGAATGGATAGTGGAACAGTTGGTTGAAGAGAAGATCGTTGGGATTTGCGTGTGTAGCAGGTAGCTCAGGCTGTCTGAATGTAGAAATAATAAACCACGTAGGTGTATTGACTTCTGGATAGCAACCTAATGGCCTTAAGCTTTCTTAGGGATAAATGAAAATCTACTGTGGCATTCGTCCAGGACCATGTGTGGGTGTGGATCACCCACGCAGCACTCCTGCATAGTGGTGCTAGTACAGGTGCCCTCTTCTTCCTCACCCAAGTGATGGGCTTCTAGGCTGAGCTGACACCTTAGTCCTGGGCTTGGAGGAAGGGACGATTCCTGTAGACAGTCTTACAGAATATGGTGCCTCTGATGGCTCTCTGCACCTTTTTTCCTCTTCCTTTGCATCCACCTCTAGCGCATGCGTATTGTTCTCTATACCTGCTGGATGCAGCTGCTTGTTCCTTTCTTGGCAGGCCCCCGTGCTGCAGATGCTCACCATCTGCTAACCAGCAGCTGCTTCTCTCTCCTCCTAGCTCCCTGCTCTGTGACGGCTCCTCTAGCACTGCAGCTTTCTCCCCTCCTTCCCCTTGGCAACTCTGTCGCTCTTCTACGATTCAGCTTCCCCCATCCCCTTTGTTTGAAAGAGGGATCGAAAACAATCTGTTCCATCTTTGTGTCCCAAATGGAGCATCTTATTTATTTATTTATTTTTTTTTTTCCTCCAGAATTACTCTGTGCAACAGTAACTCTGTAATGACACAGAGAACAGTGCCAGAGCTGGCACTGAAGGAAACAGGATTTGGTCCTTTGGGGTGAGCTCTGACTGTCTCTGCACAACTAACCACCAGCAGCGTCTTAAATAATTGCAATATTGAGCATAAGCCTCACAGGTTTCTGAAATACCTGGGGTTTGGCATTCATGTTGCCAAAAATGCGCTGGGGAATGTCAGCCGCGAAACAAATTCTGTTTGGCCTTAGATAAAAATGGTAGCAGCTGGGAAGCATAAGTGGTTTAGTCACCTTCTCCTGGCTCTGCTGACTTTGTAAGCGCAAGCAGCAGCAAATCTGAGTAGAACGTGGTCTTTCCTTAAACTGATCTCAATTTCTTGAATACCATAATTATTAAAAGGAAGGTGGAGTCCTTAATATGTCATGAATATGGATGAGCTTAATCCAAGGCATAATGATAATCTTGTTTGAAGACCTGACTTTAAAATTTGCAGGCTGCATCTGCTTTGATTTATTTCCTTTCCTGCTTCTTCACAACTTTGCTCCTCACCTGCCAGATTCTGCCCTCTTGCTTTGTGTCTTCAAAGCCTGTTATTAAAACCACATTTAGTTCATTTCGTGAGGAGAAAAATATAAATGGTTTTGCTCATATAAGATTTTGTAGCAGAAGCACACATGTTATATTCAATTTTCTTCATGAACTGTTTTGAGGAAGTAGGATGAAGGAAGCAATTTATAAGCAGTATTTGTAGTTAATTTTGTCCCTTTTTTTTTTTTTTTTTTTTTTTAACAGTTGCTTAAAACAATGAATAAAAAAATGTGTTCAAAACTGCATGGCTTCCACTTAACTGCTACTGTAGTGCTTTTGACTCTGACGTGTATAAGTTTGAGTGAATATTTTATGTAAATAGCTCTTGTGCTGTTGAGTCTAGCCCTACTGGTTGATACTTGACATACCCGAAATATCAATTTCTTTGTCTTAACGTTTGTCCTGTGTTACAAGACTTGGATTTTTGTTGTCCACTTACTGTGCCTGCTCTTAACTGAGGTAACAAAGTTTTTAAACTTGCTGTTTCTCTGCCCCAGATTGAAACCCTATGACTAGCAAAGGGTGGGCAGCTAAATTTGAAGTTATTGGGGAGATTTTAATTCTTGATGGATTTATGGATTTTGTTGTTATCTCTTCCAGCCAATAAAAAGAAAGAGAAAGAGCGGCCAGAGATCTCCCTCCCTTCAGACTTTGAACACACAATTCATGTGGGGTTTGATGCAGTCACAGGAGAATTCACAGTAAGTGAATCTGGAGGAAAAGAGAACTGTGTGGTTTGGTTTATTGCTGGGAGGAGCCAGGACCCATTAATCTTTTATATAGTAATGCTGGAAAGGCTATTACCATCATCTAGTTTGATCTCCTTTGAAATACATCTGCAGAGGTTACCCACTAATTCCTGGTGAGAGACTGTTTGTCAAACTTGGCACATCCCAGGAGCCCAGGCTGCCAGCAAACTTTTCCTTTCCTTTTTTTTTGGCTGATGTGAACAGCAAAACATGGTATATCTCTCCTCCTTTCCTCTCCCCTCCTCTTCTAGAGCTGAATTAGGTTTACAATGTAGTCTGTGTCCGCTAAGTGAGGCTCTGAGAGCTCCCCTTTAGGAGATGCACAGCGGTGCGTAACTACTTATGACAGACTGTATATGTGCTGTCCTAAGGCTAAATGTCAGATGCTTTTATGTTTTTTTTAATTGAAATGCAAAATACTATGAAGACAGAATTGTATTTCAGCATATTACTCTTCTTAATTTGATGATGAGATAGTATTTAATAGCAGCAGAAGTTGTTTGTGAGCAGCTATTTTTACCTGTCTTTAATATGCTTCTTTTTCAGGGACTTTGTGCTCCTAATCTGAATCATGTGTGCAGTTGTGGTTTGCATGTCAGCCTCTAGACTTGCCCAGGTTAACCTAGGTGTACGGTGGAGTATTACCCGCATAGTGCAGCCGTCCTTTTGAACAGGGAGGAATAACTACTGATTAAGGATCCCAGCCACTTGCCACTTTGTCTCTACAAACTGTTACTCTTTCTGGTGATGAAAGGCACAGATCTGGTTGTACCTCAGATGTATTTCTTTTCGAGCTGAGATGATGCTCATGTAATGAAATTCTGAGCTTCATATGCAGCCTTAACGTCCGGCTTTCCCAGCTCTGGTTACAGTAGGCACCAAACTGCTATTATCAAAGAACTCTGATGCTACAAGAAGACTCGAATGAATGTTGCGTGTCCATTGTGCTGGATGCTAGTTGTAGTTATGTGTATGTAGTAACAGTGTTTGTTACTTCCATAGTCTTGTCGCATATATGTAAATACTTGTATACCAATGCATAAAGGATTTTTTTCCTGCTTGAGGCTCTTCCTGAACTGCAGTATTTAAGTCTCCTCCTTTCTGTCTTTTGAGTTTTGGTTTTCAAAGGATGTGGGGCTCACCCAGAGCCCTGTGAGCAGAGTGCAGTTTGCATGTCCATGTAAGGAACGTCTGACTTCTAACACAGACAGTGACTAGGAAGGTATTGATCCACCAACTCCTTTGCTTTCCTCTCCTCATTTCTGTTTCCCTTTAGCCGTGTGGTAGAGTTGTGTGCTGTCAACAACATTAGGCTGACTGAGCTAACAAGGTGCATCTCCCCACAGGGAATGCCGGAACAATGGGCACGTTTACTACAGACTTCCAACATCACCAAGTCGGAGCAGAAGAAGAACCCCCAGGCAGTGCTGGACGTGTTGGAGTTTTACAACTCCAAGAAGATCTCAAACAGCCAGAAGTACATGAGTTTCACAGGTACATGGTGATCATCATATATGGCTGCTTTGTCCAACTTGCAGTTGGACAAAGTCACTGCATGTGAGGTTTCTTTCATTTAATCAACAAGTAGATGCTGTCTTTTCAAGGAAAATGTGAGTGAGAGTCTCTGGTTTCTCAAGCACCCCTCTTCCTTTGAAACGCTGTTCTATTAATCCTGATGCCCAACGTAGCTGCAGAAGAGGAAGTCTGACTAAATCCCCAAACGACGCGTGTTTGCTCTGAAGCTTACAGCCAGAATCGGGAAGACAGATCCCAGAGTGTTGGTGTTGGGTTCACAGTGATGAAGATCCCTGGAGAAAACAGGCAGCTAAATTTTGCACCAGTTTCAGTTTCCAGTGTGGGTGTGGATGTTGCTTCATGAATGCTTGGAGTGGAGGGTTGATCTGCTGCTGTGTGCCGTGTTTGAGGAATATACCTCAGCTGCGTGGTGCTTGGTAACTGCTTGGATTCCTCTAAAAATCAAAGTTGACAAGGTTTTGTGCCTCCTTTTTATGGATTACCTGCCTGCTGGAGGACTTTTGCAATGACCCCTTCTTTGCCCTTTCAGCTCTAACCCCTTCCCTTTCTAAATATTAATCCCTGCTTTGCTGCTTTTAAGAGGATAAAGCCATGTCACCAAAAAATGGTATTAATTAGGAAGGCTTCAGGCAGGGATAAAACCACAAATCTTCCCCATATGTGTCTGTGGAAAAAAAGTCCACTGGTTGACTCATGGGGATCTCTGTCACTATTCCAGGAAGTTTAGGTGGCTGAGACTCAACATCTTGCAGGTTTTGGGCTAACTGCGATGCCTCTGCTGGTGATTTAGCCCACCGAAAATATTCTGTATATGGATGGAGGACAGTATTCAGGTGTTGCTCTGGGAAATTCCACCGTCCTGCAGCAGGGATTTGGGGTCCCTGCATTTGTCTGCAGAATTTTTTGCCCCCTATTCCCATATCTGCCAGGATTCACCTTGTTCTGGGGAGCTGAAGGTAACGCCTAGGTTTGGGAGCAGCCTTTCTTCCAAAGGGAGCTTGTTGTCCCTTTCTCCTCTCCCCATTGCTGCTGCGTTTACAACTCATAACAGCATTGTTATCTATCTCTTTCAGATAAATCGACAGAGGATTACAATTCATCAAATACATTGGTAAGACTTATTCACATTCTGTCTCAAAGTTTCAGAATTTAAAAACTTGCATGAATTAGTGTTACCTACATGTAAACTTTTGGTTTGCTTAATGTTTAAAATCTGAACTGTATATATTTATATTGTGAATATATGTTTATAAAAACATGTAAATATATGTTTATAAAAACAGGCAAATTATCCTAAAAAGGTATGCTGCTCTTTTTTTCCTTTTTTTTTTTTTTTTCAACTGTGGGAAAATCAAGTAGACAGAAGAAACTTTTATTGGTGAACAGTGAGTTAGTGAATAGAAATCAGAGAATTAAGGAATAGAAATAGTTGTGTTTTCATAAAAGTTGATTTGTTCCTGTATCTAGAAGTTGATAACTGCTCTGCTTTTAGATTTTATACATCTCTATAAACATCTGTGATCTAACAGAGTTTAATTACTAACCTGCAAGCTCTAATTGACCAAACCTAATGTAGATTAGTGTTGATTAACCAAACTAATCTCCAGCAGAAAAGGAAATAGAAGGTTCTCCTCCTCTGTGCTTGACCTTTAGTCTGTCCTTACCAGGGCAGGCACCACTCCTGTTTGCTTTGTTGGGGAACATGAGCTGAAAAGCTCTGTAATGTTTCTGTATATGTGTGTGAGATGGAAGAAACAAAACTTTCAATTTAAGATGATTCATAAACCCTCACAATTCCCTCATCTCTTGTTTTCTCACTGCTGTGCCGTTATCTGGAATTGGCTTTTTTTGTTCCCTTCTGGAGGCAGCATATTCAGATCTGACTGTTTAGGACTCTATGAAAAGGAGAATGTTTCTGCTGTTGTTCATTATTACGTGTCATTGTTTGCCAATCCTTGGGAACTTAAAATATCTGAGGCTGTTGGATTTTAAAGTAAATCTTGAAAAGAGCAGTAGTTACCAGTCTACTGTGGTAGCCTGATGTTTGTAGAAGACACTGGGTATCCTTTAAGTTTGGAGATACTCAGGAAATTCCCAGTATGTAGGTGTTTTTTCTTGTTGCTTTTAACAGGCTTTTGTGTTACGTGATGTGCACATTAGCAATTACATGTCAGGATGCTGGTGACTTCAGGAATTTTAGGTTCAGTGAAATACTATGTTGTTTTCCCATTTTTTCAGTGACAACTTTATTTTAATACGTTTTCCCAAGCCACTCTTAGGGAACTGATGATGCACAAGTAGAACTGGTCTAGTGGGTTGAGGATCTCATCAAGTTTATTTTGAAATCATAGAATCACAGACTGGTTTGGGTTGGAAGGGACCTTAAAGATCATCCAGTACCAACCCCCTGCCCCGGGCAGGGCCACCTTCCACCAGCCCAGGCTGCCCAAAGCCCCGTCCAGCCTGGCCTTGAACCCTTCCAGGGAGGGGGCAGCCACAGCTTCTCTGGGCAACCTGTGCCAGGGCCTCACCCCCTCACAGGGAACAATTTCTTCCTTAGATTTAATCTAAATTTACCCTCTTTCAGCTTAAAACCATTATCCCTTGTCCTATCCCTACTCTTCCTGTAGTCCATGGCCTTCATAAGTTGGGGGCCCCAGAGCAGGGGTATATATAACACGATACTCTGGGTGGGGTGTCACGAGAGTGGAGCAGAAGGGGAGGATCCCCTCTCTCGACCTGCTGGCCACACTTCTCTTGCTGCAGCCCAGGACACAGTTGGCTTTCTGGACTGCAAGCACACCTTGTTGGGTCATGTTGAGCTTCTTAGCATAAAGATATTGACCTCCTCAAGCGAGTCCAGAGGAGGCCAGAAAGATGATTGAGAGGCTGGAGCCTGTGAGGACAGGCTGAGAGAGTTGGGGGGTTCAGCTGAAGAAGAGAAGGCTCCGGGGAGACCTTAGAGCGGCCTCCCAGGGCTGAAAGGGACTGCAGGAAAGAAGGGAGGGACTCATCACCAAGGATGGTGGCGATAGGATGAGGGGGAACAGTTTTAAACTGAAAGAGGGGAGACCAGGCAGTGCTGGGATGCCCCTCTGTTACCGTGCAGGTTCAGAATCTTGGGGTTTGAATTTCTCATACGTTGTAACTTTCTTGCCTGTCCTTCCTGTTTTTCTGTGCTTGTTTCAATGCAGTCTCTGTTAAGAGCTTAACCCAATGTTTGTGATTTGTTTATAGCAGGAGACTAAGTTTTTAACTTTGCTATTTGTGTAACCACATACAGAATGTGAAGGCTGTCTCTGAGACTCCTGCAGTGCCCTCAATGTCTGAAGATGAAGATGATGATGATGATGCAGCTCCACCCCCTGTGATAGCTCCACGACCTGAACACACAAAATCTGTGAGCAGAAATATTTCCTTTAGCCCTTGCTGCTGCAGAGTCTCAGTTGGATCTTGACTTGTGGCTCTCATCCACACTGTGTGGCATGGTGCTGAGCCCTGCTTTGGAGGAGGGTGGAGGTGGGAGCCATTCCTTCTGGAAGAGCACCTTTGTATTATCACCTGCCTTGTCTGGGGGGGGGGGCGGACACGACAAGAGCGTCCTTGCTTAGTGAGGTTAGCTTTTAATAAAGTTGTTACAGCAATGCATCCCTGACAGCATTAACAAGATGAATATAAGTGTTTAAGCCTTCATCTGATTTGTATTAATATGTATGTTTTTCTCAATGAAATTAGATATACACCCGCTCTGTGATAGACCCCATTCCTCCTCCTACCAGAGATGTGGCGACTTCTCCTATTTCTTCTCCCTCGGAAAACAGCACAACAGTGCCTGACATGCTGGTCACGAACACAGAGAAACAAAAGAAAAAGCCAAAAATGTCAGATGAAGAGATCTTGGAAAAAATAAGTATGTCTTTTTTGTTTGGTTTTTTTTTTTAACAAAATTAAATTCCAGGTCCTGCTGTGTTGATTTCTCAAAATTTTAGTAAACTGAAATGTTTTGACATTCCCATTTTGAGATTCTTTACTGAAGACATTGCGTTATGACTGTGTGCCAAATTGGGGGCAGATGTAAGGAGGGAGCGTAAATGTAAGCTGAGCACCTGTGATGCCAACTGAAATCCCTGGGGAGTTACAGATCCTGGGGCTTTGCAAAACAAGCCCTGAATAAGTAACATCTACTTAACTATGAAGTCTGAGATTGTTCCAGATCTTGATATTCTGTAGCTCTGCAGTGTGGATGATTATATTGAAATGTTAGACATAGGGTGTCTAAAAGATGGAGAGAAAATTAATGCGTGCCCAAGTTCACCTTCCTCATTACCGTGGTGTAAAGTGACTTGGTTATTTTTAAGTGTCTTAACGTTGTGTGGGTACCCAAATTAGTGGTTGTTACTGAGAAAAAATTCATTATGTATCCCTATTGTGTCCTAGTGTCTTTAACAGTCTCTACCTTCAGTTCAAGTGCTCCTCTGCTGCCTGGTATTTTTGGGTTATGCTGTGGCATATCCAACAGCTGAACCAGCTCTTCTGTGCAACTGATTGCTGTCCTCAGCCTGCGCCAGTTTTTATTAGGGTGTAGTGCATTTCTCACTCTTTGAACTGCTAATCCTGTATTAATGACATACATGCCTTGCTTGTCAGTTGATGTAAATTAATGTTAGCTCCCCTGTGGTCAGGCTGGTCCCCTCAGTTGAGAGCATACCCCTAAAGGTCAGTATTTTATGAAGCAAAGACTAGTAGCTAGATGAAGGAAAATTTAATCTGAGGATGTAATTTAAAAAAAAAAAAAAGTAAATGTCATCTGGGTACCTCATTCCCCTAAATAAAGGCTAAGTTGAATTGATGGCATGTTAACTGGAACTGCTTGCTATTGGAAAACTCATACCCATTGTTTTCAAACAGAACCTTCACTCACTTAATTGCACTATTAAGAGTTCAGCCCATTTTTGTGACCAGATAGGGCAAGGAGGGACAGCGGCAGGAAAAAGGTGTTATTCTAATACAGATACACTAATTTCTGTAAATGAAGTGTAAGTGCTGCTCTGAAGAGTGTCAGGTGGCAGATGTGCCTTCTGACACCTTCCTTGCTCCAGCAAGTGGTGTTCAGAGCTGATCTGATTCTTTAGCACTGAGGAGTTTAATTTATAAATATATGGGGGGTGTGAAGTTCAGTGGCCTTTGTTAGGTTTCAGCTTCTAGATGTGGACTAGTCAGAAATAAGCGGTGAAACTTAATGCTGTTGTAAACGGATGCTTTTTTTACTGAGGGCAGCGGAGTTGTACTTGTGCAAAGACATCCAACCCTTTCATGTTTTATTTTGGCATGTGAATAAAATGACTAAAATCTTAAAGCATGTGTATGTTTACACATACTGAAGATGCGCAAAGGTTAAAAGGAGGATGGTAAATCTCCACTTCTTAGGATTAACTCAGCTTTGCTGCAAACATTAATGAATCCTCACCTGACTTTTTGGGAGGTAGGAAACATTACCCTGTTTTACAGATGAAAGCATTAAACAGGGCAAGATTGGCAACTGCCTCTTGTCACTGCAGCACCTTCCTGTCACTGCCTTGGGGAAACATTTGCCTGTCTCGCAGTCTGAACTTGCAGCCTGTATTAGGCTTTGAGAGAAAGTTTATGAACATTTGTTCAGAAATGCTTGTCCTCAGGGCAGACAGCACTGCTTCCGTAATCGTATAGTGGGGCTTATATAGTTGGTTTTCATTTTCCCCCCCTCCTCTCCAAACACGGACCATATTCCCTTCCTTTACCTCTGTCTGCCCTAAACCCTGTGGGTTTGGCTGCTCTCCAGTGGTGTCTGAAAATAACCTGCTCTTACTCTGCTTGCTACTGGATTTTTTGGCCTAATGACCATGAGCAGTTTCTTTGCCAGTATACATCTGTTTAGGCTCAGCCCTCGACCCCTGTGAAAGCAGCACCATATGTTGGCAGCTTGAGTGACTTGCAAACACCAACTCAGATGCAGCTCTGCATCCCTTCATCCTATTAGCCACCCTGGTGCTGTTAGAGAGGAAACTTTGCTCCCAGCTGAGCTCTAGGAATTGCTGGCTCTGATTTCTTCAGCCTAAAAAAAGCCTAAAAATTCCTGCCTGCCATAGGGGTATTACAAATATCAGTTAATGTTTGCAGGGAGCATTGAGTTTCACTGATGCTTCTTTTGTCAGCTTATCTGATGTATCCCTTGACAGCCCACCGTGCAGTTTGCAGGACTCCAGTGCATCTGTGCAGCCTGCCCTTGCACTGAGAGCTCCTTCCCCTCATACAGAAAACACTATGTGCCTTGTAGATACCAAATCCACCCTGAGCCTGAGCGGCCCCTCACCGCCCCGGGTTGCAGAACACCAGGCAAAGTGCTTTTCCCTCCGAGGGATGCAGTAATACACTTTCTTCTGGCTGAACAGCCACGTTAGGGAAACATGAGCTGGGATTGCCTCAGGTTGCTCTCCAAAATCAGCACAATGCTGCAGTCGCGAGGTAACTGCTGCTAAAACCTGCACTGGCTCTTGGGTTCCTAGAAGAGCAGCTGAGCAACAGCCAGGCCAGGGGAGGTTTGGCTCTGAAGGGTCTCTCCAGCTTCCCTCCTGAGCCTGGCAACCCAGTCACCAGGTTAGCAATGGCTTTGGTCGTGCCAGTAGGGAAACATAAATACAACACAACAATTTCTTGCAGAACAAAAGTAAGGAAATCTTTGGCTAGATTTGCAACAGACTGTTGGCCTGAAGATAAATGCAGCCCTGGCTTCAAAATTCAGAGGGTAATACAAGAACGTCTTAAATCAACCAGTGTGTTGAAGCTGGGGGTGACTTCTAAGTTGCAGGTTTCCAGCAAATAATTGTATTTACGTGTGTGAGGGCCACGTATCCCCATCCTGTGCCCCACAGTGTGCGGTCACTGGCTGCTAGTGAAGATTAAACATGCTTTGTGTCTGTGTTCCACCATTCCTGAAGGGAGATACCTGTGAGGGGGGAATGCTGCAGCTGGTATGTGTGTAAATAACTGAGGGCTTCCTTGGTGTTCGTGTGCTTCTGGATTTCTGACAAATGGTTCATGAGATTCAGCAGAGCCCGCTGTGGCCGTGGGGCTGCTCTTAACGTACAGTTGGTTCTTAAAGCTGCACAAAGAAGTATTTATAAAATGCTCTTTTTTTGTTTGTTTGTTTTGTTTTTGTAGAAAGTATTGTGAGTGTGGGAGATCCAAAAAAGAAGTACACGTGTTTTGAGAAGATCGGACAAGGGTTAGTAGATGCTCCTTCTCTGTCCTATACCTTTCCTTATGCTAAGAGGGAAGAACTGAAACCACGCCAAGTTAATTTGCTGGAAAAGTCACTGGTGATGCTTTGGAGAGTTTATTTTGTTTGGGGTTTTTTTTGTTTGTTTTCTTTTTCTTTTGTATTTTTTAGGGTTTTTTGCTTGTTTTAGTGGGTTCCACACACACCACACCCCCCACACCTCCCCCTAAGCTCTTCTCCCTTTCCTGGCAAAATCTTGAGTCACAGGGACTGGGGGTTTTGTGTGATTGTGTTTTAATATAAGAAAATATATCATTAGATGATCAGGTTGCTAAATATAGCTGCAAGCAGGGAAGGAACTGCTTATTTTCAGCATGCAAGACAATTTTCAATTACAGATTTGCTTTCTGAATCAACTCTCCTCGATGTGGGTGTTGTGCCCCTCTTAGGGTAGGGGGAAAGTAGGTGTTGTGTGAGAGGCAAATCAGTGCAAATCACTGAGAGATCTGCTGTCAGCTCCATGTGCTGAGGCTCAAACTCCTGTTTCCCTCTCTACAAATGCCACATTTGTTTACTTTAGCTGATCCTGTCCTCTGTAATCATGTTGAGCAGTCTGCAGGCCAGGGCAGTGCAGTCATGCCAGTTTAAATGGGATCAACTCACAGTCCTACAAGCTGTGCTGAGTTTCTGGTTGAGCAGCAAGGGTTTGGATGACCATAGTGTCCCTTATTAGGAGCTTTGTTCCTCATAAATTCTCTGGCTTCAGCTCCAGCAGCAGTCTCGGCTCAGAAATATTTCAGATGATATTTACCACTGGAATTATTGCATGAGAAGGAATGAGACTGAGAGCACTTTGAAGAGACAAGTGGGAAGGGGCTTGTGTTAAGCTGTCAGTCATGCTATGAAGCACTAATAAATTTTTTCTTTTCTCTCTTTTGTTTAGAGCATCAGGTACAGTTTACACAGCAATGGATGTAGCTACAGGACAGGAGGTAAGTGCTACCAGAATACCACAGCAGTGGATTTTGGATTGTGTCCTAAAAGTTCAAGTTGATGCTACAAAATAAAGATGGTCTTTCAGGGGTTCATGACATCTGATTTTTAATGAGGTATTTATTACCTTACTAATGAGGCATGGTCAAGTGGTCTGAGCAGAGAACTGGAAAAAATGATTTCCCAAGTCGTCATTCGTGAATCATTTCGTATTTGTAAAAAATTTTCTGTGACCACAAAGGCTAGAAGCAAATGTTTGGACTGGGTAGTTTCTCAATAGAAGTTTATCTCTTCATCCCCAACATTCCTGACTGTCCCCATTTAAACCTTTTATATGCCCTCTGCTTCTTTGCTTCCTACACTTAAACTAATTGACTTACATAGAAATAGTTCCTCTCCCACCCTTTGCCCACTTGCTTTCTGCCCTTGAATTGAAAGACAAGAAAGACAAGTCTTTTTTTTCCCCCTCCTGAATATTGAAAAGTGCCCTGCATGTTGCATGCATGCATAATAAACTAGTAGTGACGGATATGCAGCATCTGTGGAAACCATTATTGCTAGATGGGGGATTTTTAAAGAGGAAAGTGTATGCATTATTCCAAATATATTGATGGCAGTCTGCAGCAATGCGTGTCTGCTTTGCATTTTTACAATGTCAGGGTTATCCATCAGTAAATTTCATAATTGTGGTTTTTGCTGAAGCTCCTTCACCCTTTTAAAATTTTTTTTCCAGTTCCTGAATCTCAGAATGGTTTAGGTTGGAAGGGACTGTAAAGATCATCCAGTTCTACACCCCCTGCCATAAGCAGGGCCACCTTCCACTAGCTCAGGTTGCCCAAAGCCCCGTCCAACCTGGCCTTGAACCCTTCCAGGGAGGGGGCAGCCACAGCTTCTCTGGGCAACCTGTGCCAGGGCCTCACCCCCCTCACAGGGAACAATTTCCTCCTATGTGCACCAACTGCAGGAACACACAGAGTTACTAAATGGCTGAGCAACCCATGATGAAAAAGTGCTTTGCCACTTCATGTGAATGTGGGACTAAAATAATTGATACTGCTACTGGCAAGTTTCTAGGGGACTCCTGTAATAACCCTTTCCTTGGTCTTTCTTCACTGCAGGTTGCAATCAAACAGATGAATTTGCAGCAGCAGCCCAAAAAAGAACTGATTATTAATGAAATCCTTGTGATGAGGGAAAACAAAAACCCCAACATTGTCAACTACTTGGACAGGTATGTCACAATTTGAAGAGTTCACAAAGGGACTCTGGAAAACACTTCCATGTTGCTGTCTTAAGTGATCCTATTGCAGCTTAATCCAGGTGTGGGACAACCTTGCGTTGTTTAATGCATGTGGCAGTGTTGGGGTGCAGGCAGCTTTGTGGTCTCTCTCCATATCCTAAGAGAAAGGTATCTGAACTGGTATTAGTTGGTGTATCTAGGCTCTCTTCAGAACTGCTGGCAGCAAAGGCAGTAGCAGTATGCTGTCAGGACTGTGTTTTCAGCTCTGTCCTTTGCCAAGTTTGGCACAACAAGCCATTTCCTTCCTGCTACTAGTGAAGAAATAGAAATAGTTTGAACTGGGCTATTTGTATTTGCTTTTCTCTTCCTCCTCTTTTCTCTTTCACTGAGTAATGCTGACATTCTGCTTGCAGAGGAGCAGACTCCTTCCAGGGTTAGATAGTAATCTTTTCTCTGTTGCTGTCCGCTGAGGTTTCCTGCACAGTAGCAGAACAGTGACAAGGTTGAGTGACATGTGACACATAACCAAGCAAGGCTGCTTTTTTGGGGGTGTAAAATGGGGAGAAAAGGAGACCTGGTACAGACAGAAGAACTCTTTGGAAGACAGACGGAATGGAGTTATTCCTTGCTCAGAGCTGGGCTCTGTGGTCTCATACACATGCTGTGGCTCACACTTCTGCTCAGCTTTGGATATGTTACATCTGTATGGGACAGCTTGAACCCCTGCTTCTCCTTACCACGAGAGCTTATCTGTGTGCAGACCTGCTCTCCTTGTTCCTGAGCTGATGTCCCTTGGACTATGACAATAACAGAGCAGAAGCAAGGAGCGCAGTGCTTCAGCTGCTGCACTAAGTGTAAACTGTTTTTAAAATAAACGTGTAGTTCTTGCATCTCCCCATTTGAATTCCAGGAAATAGTCACAAACTGTCAGCATTGAAATCTGGGGCGTACAGAAAGCCCAACAGGCAAAAGCGTTGCGTGGTGGTTTCAATTCACCATCGTGTATTGGTGCATTGTGTCAAGCCTGTGTCATTCACCTTGTGTTAAAGATATAACTAGTTCCAGTTGAGCTGCAGCAGGATTTTCAGTCTGCTGCACTCCATGTTAGAATCTAGCAGTCCTGATGAACTGCAGGTTTGGCTTACGGTAGGGTAAAGAGTGCCTAGGTAGGGTGAGCTGCAGGCTTCAGTCTTGGCAGCTCACTTTTTCTGGAGGGATGTGACCTACAATCTCTTTTGGATCTCTCAGAGAGTATTTGCACATTTGTTTGCTCTGCACGTATATCAAAATCTTATCAGCTGTTTCTTTTAATAGGCTTTTACTGTCTTAGCCAAAAAAAGTACTTCTTGCAGCATCAGTACTTCTTGCTGAATTTATATGGTGCTGAGTCCTGGGAATGGCTGTGAAGATCTTTGCTGAAGGGACAGAAAGTCTGCTCCTGAAATTTTGTGGAAGGCATAAGAGCACAGGGAGGTGATGCTGGGCAGGTGCCCTTTTCTTACAATGGGCAGAAAGATATTACCTGTGTAAAATGAAACAAGTGATAAAGAAGAGTTAAGAATTGCATCTGGGCTGAAACTATTTATTTCTCCTGGCTGATTAGAGGCTTTGTTTTGGCAAAACTGTTGGAGAGATGCGTTCTTCCCGTTAAAGAGAGCCTTGCTGAGTACTTGCCTTGTCTAGCCAGTACTTCCCAGCTGTAGGGTAGCTGTACGTCCTGCTGTCTTGTTCAAGCTTCCTGCAACAAGAGCTGCTGCTTTTGTCATCCACTTTCTCTCACTAATCTTTTTCAGAGGGATTAGCTTTTGTTTGAGTGCTGCAAATGGACAGAGCAGCAACTAGGATGAACATGGGGTGTTCTTGTACCTATTACACCACTTCAGCTTTGCAACTGCAGGATCCTGTTGCTGGGGAGCTGTGTCCCTCCCGCCCGGTGTAATGTGCCTGTTTGCTTCCTGCATGCTGAATTAAACTGACATTTGAACACCGCTTGCTGGCTTCTGCCTACTGCTGTCACAGAAGGAAGTACAAGGAAGGATGCGCTTGCCACTGTGGGACCTGGTTTCTTTTCTGTGGTTCTGTTTTTGACAGTGTGTCACCTCCTGAGTCCCTAATGGGAACGGCAAGATAGTCATTGGTATAAACCAGCCCTCTTGCTTCTCTTTGCCTCAGCTCCTGCCATTTTTGCAAGGGTTTCCTGTGTTTTATCCTCTCTTACCTGCATGGCCTACTTGCTTGTGGTTAAGACAGCTTTTCTGCAGCAGTGTAAGCAGCCAGTGTTGCACAGAAGTGTGCTCTAACATTTAAGATAATGACATGGCCTAATTCAGCTGTACTTAGGGGCTGAATTTAGAAGCATCTGGCTCTGAAGACACTGACACTAGTTCTCCTCTGCGGACAAGCAGCCATTTGTGCTGAGTTACCTTTTGGAGGTGCCAGTTTCTTTCTACTGTGTGAAAGAGACACTGAAAGACCTGCTTCTAAACACAAGCCACAAATGCCCAGTGTTACACAAAGCAAACTCCTGGCCTTTGGTTTATTTCTTTCTGAAGAATTCACCTTAACCTCATAAACCCCACAAATCCTCACTTTAAGTGGTAGCCACTCACCCCAACCCCAAACTCAGCTAGGGCTTCAAGGTCAGTGAATAAAGCTGAAGATGTATGAAAGTCATGCTACAAGAAAACACTGATTTCTTTCCAGGCAAACTTCATGTTTGCGTGTTGGAGACTTATTACTGGTGCAGAAATCTGTAATGAATGGTCTTGCTCTTTTATAAAGTTTATCAATGTCATACAAGGAGCAGCTGAGGGAACTGGGGTTGTTTAGTCTGGAGAAGAGGAGGCTGAGGGGAGACCTCATCGCCCTCTACAGCTCCCTGACAGGAGGTTGCAGAGATGGGGGATGAGTCTCTTTAACCAAATAGTAAGTGATAGGACAAGAGGGAATGGCCTCAAGTTGCACCAGGGAAAGTTTAGACTAGATATCAGGAAGGATTTCTTTCCAGCAGGGGTTGTTAGGTGTTGGAATGGGCTGCCCAGGGAGGTGGTGGAGTCCCCATCCCTGGGAGGAGTTGAGGAGTCGGGCTGAGCCAGCACTGAGGGATCTGGGGGAGTTGGGAACTGTCAGTGCTGGGTTAACAGTTGGACTGGATGATCTCCAAGGTCCTTTCCAACCTAGATGATTCTGTGATTCTGTAATAAAAAGGGACTGTGACTGACTGGTGTATGTTTTGTGATAGGAAGGACTTAGTGGACATCTTCCTAAGGTGTCTTAAGTGAAAGCTGAGGAGCACCTTACAGGAGCAGGCGGTATCTGCTCTTGCAGATGGATGAAGGAAAAGCTGTAGACCACCTCCTCCTTCCTCAAAGACATTCATCAGTTTATTTTTACTGCCAGCCTTGTTTTGGGAGGTGACTGTGGGTGACAAGGTGCAACACCATGCTGTGTCTGATGTCACACGGAGAGCAGCACGTAGGTGTATGGACTTCCCAGTGGTGTGTCTGGAACTGCTGAGAGAGTGGTTTTGAGTCACGCCTACAGCAGGCAGCTCAGTGACTAAAACTGGTCTCTGCTGCACCAAGAGAGTGAAAAGATCCCTGAGATGGTACCACCCAGTCTTTCAAAATGACATTCACTTGGTGGCAGCTGGCAGGAAGCCACCGTTAATTCCACCTCCCCCTCCCTGCGTGTTATGTCAGATCTATCAATTATTGAGGTGCCTGGGTTTTGGCACAAGCCTTTGGCAGCTCATGGCACAGCTTTGGTTCACAGTGTGGTTCTTGGCTCGCTCCATCCCAGAGAGGTACCAGCTTGCTCCCAGCACATGCAACCTGAAATTGTCACACAGGAATGGTGGAGCCCATTCTACCCCCATCCTTACAGCCAAGTGGATTTGGGCTGCAGAGGATGCTGTTGGCAGTGAAGGGAAGCATTGTGATGTCCAGGGTGATGCTGATTTGTTGAGAGGGTGCTGATAAAATCTGGAGAGAGCCTGGTTTCCCAGAAGTGATGAAGAAGTAGCAACAGCATAGGGGCAGGAAGGGAAAGGGTGTGGATGGAATGGCTTTCAGAGCCCGTGAGAAGGTAAATGACCCACAGACTTGGCAGAAGTGCTTCTGAAAGCAGTTCTCCTGCTCTTCCCTTTGAGGGACTCTTGTGCAGGTGCTACTGATTTTGCTAGAGTCTGTGCTGCTGGGGAAAAAAATACCAGTGCATCAGCTTCTGTTCTGTAGTAGAGTTGGAGACTTGTCTGCTCCAGGAGCCTAGACCTGTGTCCTTGGGCTCTGTATCGTGAAAGAAACTCCAGACTCTGCCTCTGCATAGTCTTCAGCATCACCAAACCAAGACACCATCTTCATTTCCAATATTAAAAGCTCTTTATAACTGCCACACTTTTGTCACACAGCTCAGGCTACAGTTCTTAATTTGGGGTAGGTTCTTCATCAGCTCAGGTGTTGGCAGTGTGTCCATTTGGGGTCAGAGTGTACCTTCTGCCCACTCCTGTGATGTCTCACTCTTCTCTGTCAACTCTCCATGCCAAGTTGGCCTTAATAACTTCCTTCTACTTCACTGTTGCTTTCTAGCTAATTGTTCCCTAGAACCTGTCCTGCTTTTTTTTTTGCGTTTGGCTCCTAGAAAATTCACTCTTCACTCTTCAGTAGGATCAGTGTTTCAGAGCAAAGCAAACATCTGCTTGATGAACTCTAATGCCGACAGAAGCTTTTCATTAGATTCTCTGCCTTCTCTCTTGACTCATCTGTCCACTCACTGTAAAAATGGGAGGATAGGCTGAGAAGGTGGATTTTCAGTTTTTCACGCTGATGATTCCTTCCTTCAGGAATGTGTCATTCTAATGTATCTGTCATAGAAGATTATATTGATGTTTTCCCAGATAGGCCCGAAAAGGCGGAAGTGGTTGGTGGTTTGGGCTGGATTGGTTTTTTAAAATAAGTTAATGCTGAAGTCTTCATCCCAGGTCTTCTACTTTTAGGCATGAGCACACACACTCCCAGGAGAGAATAATATCCCAAATGGCTGAGAAAATTCACCCTCACCTCAGTTGTCTCCTCCCCATCTTCCTACAGGACATTTTGGAAAAGATCTGCCATTTTGAGCTTCTTTTTTTTACTTTAAGGCTTTAGAATTGCTATTGCATTCAGTAAGATATTATCATTTATCCTTATGAATGGTTCTGAATTTTTCAGACAAAATCCCAAACTAGTTTGGTAGCATAAAAAAGATGGAGGTGATTTTCCAATGCACAATGCTTAAAAAAAGTGTTCTTTTATGCTTGTTCGCTGTCAGCCATCCATTGTGTCACCTAGGATTGTCCCTGGGCCTAGGTAAAGGAGGCAGTTGGTTAGGACAGCAGGATGCCAGTAGTAAGGAAGCAGCCCCCAGCCACCTCTTCTGATGTAAGAGCCCTCAAAAGCCATGCTGTGTGCCGAACGTCTGGGCTGCGTGCTCGGACCCCATCCTTGACTTGTAGCTCTTCCCCTTCTCTCCCAGCAGCAGCCGGAGTTGTAAGGTCAGGTTTCCATCTTAGTCTGAGCCATTTCCAGACAGAAATATTCACCCTTGCTTTTATGGCCAGAAGAGAAGAGGAGGCTTATCATCCTCTACAACTACCTGAAAGCAGAGAGCTGGGTTTGAGCCTCTTTAATCTAGTAGTAAGTGACAGGACAAGAGGGAATGACCTCAAGTTGCACCAGGGAAGGTTTAGACTGGATATCAGGAAGCATTTCTTTCCAGAAGGGGCTGTTGGGCGTTGGAATGGGCTGCCCAGGGAGGTGGTGGAGTCCCCATCCCTGGAGGGGTTGAAGAGTCGGGTCGACATAGCGCTGAGGGATTGGTGGAGTTGGGAACTGCCAGTGTGAGGTGAATGGTTGGACTGGATGATCTTCCAGGTCCTTTCCAACCTAGATGATTCTGTGAAACTTGTAGCATGCTCTGGCATTGCCTCTTCTCTCAACTTTCTGCACTGACCCTTCTCTCTGCTTATTCAGGTTGTGATCAGATCCTCCAATGCACAGAAAATACCACAAGTATCTGGTGCCCCAGTACTGTTAAATATGCTGCTCAAGCCTCATGGTTTCTCCACACTTCTAAGACAGCTTTAAAACCCAGTGCATTCTGTCTAGGTGAATGGTGGCATGCTCATACTTGCCGATTATAAAATTTGGTTTTGGCTCTTCAGTTACCTTGTAGGAGAAGAGCTCTGGGTGGTCATGGAGTACTTGGCGGGAGGCTCCCTGACAGATGTTGTGACAGAGACCTGCATGGACGAAGGGCAGATCGCAGCTGTGTGCCGAGAGGTAAAGTGGCACTGGTGCTCGGAGGGAGCCGTGATCGGGGAGGGGACAGGGGCTTCCCACAGCCTGTCACTGGCTCCACAGGAATAGCTGTCTCCAGCTTCTGTAGTGCAACAGTCATTCTTTTCAGAGGACGGATTTCAGGTGGGAGGTTACAGCATACGATCCTAATGCAGTATGTTTCACCCTAGAGGGAGAACTGGAGTGCAAAATGGGGTTGGAAACCCCTTGGTTATACCTGTTCTCCAGGTCCTTTGGGACTAACTTGTCCTTGTAGGACCTGCTGATCCCAGTGGGATACCTCTCTGTAGTCCTGCACATACAGAATATGTGAAAGACTCTAAGACACTAAGCCCTTGCTACTTAAAATGCACGTTGTTAGAGTCCATTAGTTGGCTAATTGTGACTGGCGAATAATTTCATGCACAGTAAGAGTATCTCAAGTATTTTTTGTTGTTTTTTTTCCAGTGTCTCCAAGCTCTGGAATTCCTCCATTCAAACCAAGTTATTCACAGAGACATCAAGAGTGACAACATCCTGCTGGGAATGGATGGCTCTGTCAAACTAAGTATGTGGGCAATATTGCTGGTGATGACTTGAGTTATCAACCCAGGCCTGTTATCTGCTCTGGGACAGGCCTATTGGGGAGATGGGTGTTTGAGGTGCTTGATGCTCTGACAGCGAAGAGGCTGTAGAAATGCTCTTGTAGGTATTTTTGTGGCATTGGTTTTAGCGGAGATTGGCAAGCGTGAATCTCTGTGAACTGATACCAGACTCAAAGTGAGGTTTGGGGTTCATTTAGCTTTGGGCCATCTATTTTTGTGGACTAAAATAGCATTATTTTAATGCTACTCCAGTCTTGAAAGCTGGGTTTGAAAGTGTAGGGCCAGAAATCTGTATTTGTGAGCAATCTCTTCAGTCTGGAAAATACTGCAGGTACTTGGGGGACAGGGGGAGTGGAGGGAGCGAGCACTGAAATCTGTGTCACTAGAGAACATTTAATCTTACAACTCCAACCCAGACTGGACTCTAAATATTGTTTACACCTTGTGTTATCACCAGTAATGAAAACCTTGAGACTGTTCTGCCCCTCAGGTGCTAAGGTAGCTGTTGTGCTTGTCATTGTCCATGCAGAGATATGTCTGGAAACTAGTGAATTATTATCTTCCACCTATAGCTTTAACAGAATTATGCTTCCTTTCTCTCCCTCTCAGTTCTGTTGGCTAGTACCCAACAGGCATAAATAAATCTATTTTTGTCAGCAGTGACAGCAGATATGACTCAAAATTCACACAGTGCAGATATGCTGAGTAAGAAGGTGGGGGGTTTTTTTGCACATAATTGCATTTTAGACTAAATCTGTACTTCAGTACGGTCAGATCTCTGGAGTGTTAGTGATGAATAGCTGGTCAGGGCCAAAGTGTTCATGTGAAGTAACTTCTTTGAACACAGTATGCAGGTATTGGGCTGTAGTTTAAAAGTTAGAAAAGTCCCTGTGGATATGATGCTTTCTGGACTGGAGCTGCTTATTGGCTCTGCTGGCAATTTGCTCTGTGTATGGGCCATATGTACCTTCCCTGGTTGTTACCCTTGATGAAAACTCAGCTAGGGATCAGTTTACTTTTCATCATTCTGCCTAAAAGACCTGCAGTGCCATAGGAGGTCAGGATGGGCAGTGCGTCTTGCTGTGTTGATTCTGCTGGGCTCACAAGAACAGAATTAGTTTTGTTTTGGTAAGTCAAAGACAAATAAGACATAGGACCCAGCAATCTTTGTGTGAAGGCTCTCCATCTTTCTGTCTATTTGAAGAAAATAATCAATATAAATTTAGGTACTTAAATTTATTCTGAACACCTCTTTGTAAAGCAAATCCAGTTTGAGGGATGATACGTCTGTTGGGGAAGTAATATCTCTGGCACTGAAAATATCACCAGACAATACAGTATGTGGGTTGGAGGGTTGTATATAGATCAGAGTGTGCATTAATTTCTATTTTCACATACTCAGGAACAGTCTTTAGACCATATATTACACAGTGTATTCCAGCTGCATAATGCTGCAAACACAGTCAAGTGTCTCAGCGTCCATGTATGGTTATTTACTGATCCCCATTGTTCACACAAACCAGTCCGCAGCTCTGTAGTCCTGGTGGCCTCAGTGGGTCAGATTTAGAAACTTACCTCTCAACACCATCTTCTCTGCTAGCCACAAAACCACCCCTCCGTTCACAGTTGTAGCAGCAGCACACGAGGCAGCTCAACAGGGTAACGAGTACCACAGCTTTAGCATCAGTAAGTGTTGGTTTTGCAGAAACCCTCTGATTTCTGTGTATGTTTCTTCCCCCTCCATCTTTAATTTTCCAGCTGACTTTGGCTTCTGTGCCCAGATCACTCCTGAGCAGAGCAAACGCAGCACCATGGTGGGGACCCCATACTGGATGGCACCTGAAGTGGTGACACGGAAAGCGTATGGGCCCAAAGTGGATATCTGGTCGCTGGGGATCATGGCCATCGAGATGATCGAAGGAGAACCCCCCTACCTCAATGAGAACCCCTTGAGAGTAAGCTTGTATCTTTTGCCCTCGGGTCTTTGCTAAGCCTGCTGGTGACACTAGGCTGTAAAGGAGGCAGGCGAATCCTCCAGTGTGGTTTCACCACCTGCAGCCCCATACCTCCTTAGATGTCACAGTGAGAAGACTGAGACAGCTGTAGTTAAAAGCCATAGTTGGCGCTGGGTAGCAGAGGTGTGGGTTCTTCATGTTGCAGACCCTTTGGTCAACTTTGAGTTAGATCGTGCACACTCACCATTTCCTACTCCGATAGAGGCAGATAGAGTACCTGATGGTACCAAAGCAGCTGACTTCTGCATTTGAGTGGAGAAGAATTCCCCTTAAGTTCAAAAATATGACACGTTGTTCCTCTGTAAACGGTTTTCTATTACTAGTGTGTTGTTCCTCCTTGCGTGCTCCAAATAAAGCTACATGCTTAATAAGCCTTTAACAGGGTTTAAGCCTCCTGATGTTGTTCCCTTGTTTAGCTTTTAATGAAAGGGGCGATGCTATCAGTTTGTAGGGATGTAACTGCTTTTACTATAAGCCATGTTTATGGCTTCTCCCTCAGCTACACAGGATGAGGGGATCTAGAAAATTTGTTTAACTTTTGTCTCAATCTCTGGCGCAGGAAGTGATTTTTGGGAGAGAAGAGCTGCAGCAAAGAAGGGTGAAAAGAAAGAAACTGGGTGTTGAGTTAAACGAGGGTGGCTAGGTAAAGGTACTTTGCCCTTATTTAACTCAACCTGTGCCAATTCCTGGGCTGTCAGACTGCTCCCATGGGAAGTGCCGAGTGATGTAGGGCCTGCATATTAACACGTCTCTGACAGATTTCTGTTTCCTTTGAAAATCCATCCAGGAAGTTTCTTGCATGAAATCCCCAAATGGATGAATTCTGAGTCCCTTGATTCTCAGGGGGGGTGTGTGTGTTAACACTTCATCCCCAAGCAGTAGAAAAACTTGTTTCTGCAGGATGTTAAAAGCTGCTTGAGGGTCTATTGGACATCTTTTGTAAGGAGCCAGCTGCATCTTTATTGTATTGACTTTTTAGGCCTTGTGCACTCGGGCAAAGTACTGACAGAACAAAATCTATTTATTCAGGGGTACCTTCCCATGAGGATATAGTTATTGCAGGAATCTAGCGCTGGTAGAGTCATGCCAGTTAACTTCCCTATGTAAACACAGTCTGGAATGTTGTTTTTGTCCTTCTAATCCCTTGAGAGGGCTGCAGGATCCAAACCCAGATTACGAGGGTAAAACAATAAAAGATTGGATCCCATCCACATAAAAATAGGGCTGGCAGCTATTCTGTTTGCTGAAACTTAAGCATTGATTAGTCACCCTGATAAGGTGGGGTTATTTTCCTCCCCATTGAACTGGGAGGAGGGAGAGGAGAAATGGGTGTCTCGAATCCAGAGATGGAATCTAACCTTCATAACCTCTGGTTTCTTTGATGCTTGTTTTTACTTCAGGCCCTCTATCTTATTGCTACTAACGGGACTCCAGAACTGCAGAATCCAGAAAAGCTTTCACCCATATTCCGAGACTTCTTAAATCGCTGTCTTGAAATGGACGTGGAAAAGAGAGGTTCTGCAAAAGAGCTGCTACAGGTAGGTGATGGGAACAGGGCTGAATCATACAATTCTGAGTGAGGCCAGGCTTGTGGTGAGATCTTGTTTGGGGTCTTAAATATTGCATCAGCTGAAGGCGCAAGCACAGCTAAGGTAACCTGCCAGAAAAAAACAAATCAACGACCCCCAAAACCTAAATCAATAATAAAGTGTTAACAGACTACTTGCTTTTTATGCTGTACTTGCTACTAGCAGCAGCTGTGCAGCATGTTCTGTAACCAATCTGAAATAATAGCTGTGCCCCAGGCCTGCCAAATGCCAAGCCCCTGAATTCCCGTGGCTTCTTCACGCAGCTGGCCGTGACATCTGTATGTGTTGTCATGGGCTGTGCTTGTTCCAATTTGAGCAGCAGGAGGGCTTCTAGCTACTGGGTGTTCTGGTTGTCTCCCTTCGGGTGGAGGAATCCAAAGCTCCAGCATTAACTGGAGCAGTCTGGTGTTACCATGTTTTGGCAAATTCTACTCCTTACAGAGGTGATGAACAAACCTTGTGAAATACTCTAATCACAGACTGGTTTGGTTGGGAGGGACCTTAGAGATCATCTATTTCCACCTCCCGGCCATGGGCAGGGCCACCTTCCACTAGCCCTTCCAGGGAGGGGGCAGCCACAGCTTCTCTGGGCAACCTCTGCCACTGCCTCATTGCCCTGTCATCGGTTATTTCACTGAAAAACTGATGTCTTAGTCTGAACTCCTGGCGAAAGAGGAGGACGAAGCTGTCAGGCTTTTTACTGCCACAAGATGAGAAGAGTGGTTCATGTGTTCCTTCTGTGAAATTTGCCATGGGGGTGGAGAATGTAGCTCTTTGTAAAATAAATCTGTGATCAGGGGCACTCAGACCTCAACTGTGAGACAGTTCCCATTTTTGTTTTCCTTTTTTTCCACTAGTTTGTCTAGTGGATTTACTTTTAGATGTGTTGCTGCCTTCTGAGGCTGTAATGAAGCCTTACTCGTTGGCAGAATGGCAGTAGTTCTTTCAACTGCTTTTTCACTTTTTCTCCTGGAATTTCCAGCCCCAAAATATCAGAGTGGTAATGTACTGTTCCTTAGAGCAGGAGAACATTTTGACTGTAACATCCCTGCTTGTTTTTAACTACCTTTTAGCCTCTGATTTTTTTCATTTTTTTCCCCCCACATCTCTGAAGCCTGTTGACTTGGGTGATTGATCCCTTCTGATGCTCAGAAGTCCTGTTGGGATATAGTTGCTTTTTGTTTTCAGAACAGCTTGTGGGCTTGCCCTACATGCCTTCACTCTAATCTGAGAGCTGTTTTGATGATAAATATTGTTTTACTTAATAGACCAACTTGTATAGGAGACTGACTCGGGAACTGGGTGGGTTTAGTCTGGAGAAGAGGAGGCTGAGGGGAGACCTCCTGGCCCTCTGCAGCTCCATGAAAGGAGGGTGCAGAGAGCTGGGGATGAGTCTCTTTAAGCAAGTAATAAGCAACAGGACAAGAGGGAATGGCTTCAAGTTGTGCCAGGGAAGGTTTAGACTAGATATTAGGAAGTATTTCTTTACAGAAGGGGCTGTTGGGCGTTGTAATGGGCTGCCTGGGGAGGTGGTGGAGTCCCCATCCCTGGAGGGGTTGAAGAGTCGGGTCAACATAGCGCTGAGGGATCTGGGAGAGTTGGGAACTGTCAGTGCTGGGTTCATGGTTGGACTGGATGATCTCCAATGTCTTTTCCAACCTAGACGATTCTGTGATTCTGTTTTATATTGCAAATTCTGTGATGCTCTCAGAAATTCTAGCTGCTTTCCAAATTTCTAATATCTGTAGAATGCCAAGGCAACGCTTTCACCAAACCTACTTGCGATAGAAGGGAAGAGAAATGAGGGGTGATTCCTGCAAGCCCTGTACCTTGTGTTTGAACCACACAGGTGTTTTTTTAGTACACCTTCCTTCCACACAGAATTTAGCTACAGATATTGCATGATTATAATTCCTCAGGGGAATTAGCTGAGTTCTGCTTGGTCTTGAACATGTACAAGCATCAGAGAATTTAGCAATGGCTGCAATTCTGTTCATCACTTCAGGCATGCCCTAAAAGTTTGTGGTGGTAACTGACCTTTTGGTTTCGCCTGTTCAGAGGTTAGTGTAGGTTGTTAGACATCATGTGGGTCTAGGTGCTCATATTTTGAATAGCCACCAGATTCCTGGAGCATGTTATGAAAAATTTGACCCTTTTTCTTTTTTTTTTTGCTTCTTCCTAGCACCAGTTCCTGAAAATTGCAAAGCCTCTATCTAGTCTCACTCCTCTGATTGCTGCAGCTAAAGAAGCAGCCAAGAACAACCATTGAAGTGGTAGAGTCAACACAGTCGTCGTGTCAAGACTTTCAGATATTTCAGAGACTGAATTACCTGCCCCCCTCCCTTTCTGCTCCTTCTTCACAGGGGTGTTGTTAAAACTTTGATCTGCCCTGGAGGATGGCAGAGGTATTGTTCACTGAACATGGAAGGGCGCTCAACAGGGACATTGCTGATCTTACATAGTGAACTGTCTTCCCATCCTTGTGGTGGGGGTGCGAGGGGAAGAGTATTTTGTATGGTTGAGAAGATCTTTCTGAGAACATCTGAACCTGACCTACACCTAGCAAAGCCAGTTTGTTTCCGTATTTCTTACTGTGTTTATTTTTAAAAACGATGTGGAGCCTTAGACCATATTTATCTTAATAAATTAAATAATTTGCTGGCTGGACTTTTCCTGCTTCTGGCAAGCTGCTATTCCACCACAGAAGCTGCTGTGTGCTTTGGATGACTTGAGAAGGGAAGGAAACAGGCAGCAGAAATGGGAACAGCTGCAACAACTGAAAGGGGAACAAGGGCATGAATACGCATCCCTCCTACAGCACTGCTGGGTGCTTCGAGGGAGCACGGAGAAAACCTCCGTGGGCTTCCTGCAGCCTTTGGAGAACCTAATTCATGGATGATCTTTTTGCCAAATTGTGTGAATCAGGGGCTCCCTCTCCCTTTAAGTTCAACTCAACTAGTTAAACAAATCTCAAACGTTTCTGATGTTCTAGAAGGTAAATCACAGGAAAAAATGACAGAAGGCTCTTTTAGGGTTATTTTATCAGTGCTGTGAGGCTTCTTAGAGACCCTTGCCCTGTATGATAAAGCAAACAGAGCAATTACTATTATAAAGATAAGATTTGCCTGCAAGATGATGTTGAAAACTCTTGTTTCTTAGAGCAAGTCCAATGGAAAACAAACTAATCATGGATGCTGCTTTCTTGGAGATGTGGGGACGTTAATTTTTTTAAATGATAGTGGTTTCATTATGCTACTGATTCCTTTGGTTGCTCTTAGCCTGCAAAACAACAAGAAACCTGGAACTACTAGAGGGATTGGTTGTAAACACTGGGCTTTATGTTCAACTGTATACTGATTTTTAATAAAATGACCTCTGCGTTTCTTAACTTGGGGCTAAGAGAGGGTCGGAGAATTCAGTGTCACCAGACAAGTCTGTCGGATGGGATTATTGTTCATATCATCGCAGGGTGCTTGAATGTGTTGGATGAAGTAATATAACTTTGTCTTTTACCTCTTCTTCTGTAGTTCTTTGGGATAGCAAGCGTCTCTCAAGGGGGGAAATTTACACATAGAGAAAACTGATAAAAATCTGTATTATAACTGGGGGATCTGCTTTCTCTGTACTGCTTTAGTCATTTATGGTGTGAGTTTAAACCCATTTTGGAGTATCCTCTTTCTCCAAAGCACTTATGTTGCATAGAAACTCATTCCTGCTTCTTGCTGAGACCTGCTGCTGCCTCAGCCCTTTCTTCCCTGCTCCTGAATTATAATTCAAATATATTTTTCCTATTTGCTCCACAATACGTGACAGCTCTTACACTAGTTTTACTGGGTGTAGATGAGAGTTTGTGAGGTCTCTTGCTTCTGTGGTGCCTTTGTGCTTCAGGGTGATCGCTGTTTGACATGAGGCTCAAAACTGAAGTCCATTGCCAGAATCTGCAGCCTCTCTCCCTTTGTGTATATATATTTCATCTCCCTGTAATATTAAAGAGTTTTCCCTCGCAAAGCTTGTATCCAAGGATGAATTCCTTGGGCAAAACAGTAAAGCTGCAGCCTGGAGAGGGATGTGGGCTATTAATGAGCTCCTCTGCTTGGAGCTTAGGTGGAGATTGCAAAACAGAAGGCAACCAGCCTTGAATAATTCCCTTTGATAAGGACTTAGTATTTCCTCTGGAAGACTCAAGGTGGCATATGTGGGAAGAAAGCATTTAGGGGCTAGATCTCACTTGATCTAAGATCTCCTATGGCTCTGGTCTTACAGATTGGGTAAATGACTTTTTTTTGACAGCACAGGATTACATCCAATCCACAGATATGTTTAATGTCTCTGACTTTCTTTAACTCCCTTCCCCACTCCATCCTCTGCATCCCATTGAGACAAGACCCTTAATGCAGATATGCCCATCGGCGAGCCCGCATGTCATCTTACTTTTCTGCAGCAAGATTTCTGCTAAATTTCCTCGAAGGTAGAAAAAGGTTATTTGTGTGTGTTTTAAGCCACTCTTCTAGATGATTGCATAATGGAAAGGAATTGACACAAATGACTGTTGATCCTTTCTTTATGCTGGTGATGTGCTTCTGTCTCATTGACTTCCAATTTGTATTGGTCCTGACTGGTTTCTGTTAGCTGCTTGGGAGGGGCATTTGCCAAAAGCCTTTCCTTTTCCACTGGGAAGCTGCAGGACTGTGACCGTAGACATGTGTCATCTCATCCCAGGCTTTTCTTTCCCCACCTATGATAGGTGGGAAAAGGAGGCAACTACTACAGTGTGCCTGGTGTCATGTTTTTATGTTCTCAGAAAATCTTAAAAAATTTTCTAACTACCTTAAGCTTAGGGGAATGGAACTGGTTTTTGTTGTTGTTGCTCTGAAAGACGTCTTTTCTTCCACTCTCCATCTGTGCAGTGCCCAGCCTCAGCACCTGTGTCAGCTTTCACATAGGTCATTACAGCACCTTCCTGGCTAAAGAGAGCTCTTAAATACCAACTCTGGCTTAAAAGTTAACTGCTGGGGCTTATTTTTCTGAGAACATCTTGTCTCTGCTGTGATTTCAAAGCGAATCCAGCTAGAGAACTTTTTGGTGGCTTTGCTTTTTTTTTTTTTTTTTTTAACATACTCTATGAACTGATTCGCCTGAGTTGAAACCATTTTTAATCAGTCCTTAATTATTTATCTGCCTGTTAATATTAAGGTTTCTCTTCTATATTGGAACATAAAATATTCAATTGTTTGAGTATCCTTTCAAAAAATTGACTTCCTTTTTGAGGGATCTCAAGCAATCCTATACCAGCAATGATATAACACGGTACAGTTTGCAAGAGGCTTGATGGAAAGAGAGGCTAAAATTCACTTTCTTTTCCAAAACACAGAAGATCGTCTTCTTTAAGAAGCAACTGGCAGCTTCGACAAGATGCTTCCTATATTTCAAGAACAGGCATTGGTTTGTATTACTTTAGCTCTAGGGTTTTTTTTAAACAGATGATTGGTTTGGAGTTCACCGGGGCCAAGAGTCTGTGTGTGAGAGGGGCACACAGCCCCCATGTGCCTTCAAGGCTGGTTGTGATGCTCAGAGTGGAGACCCAGGGCAGGGATGGAGGAGGGGAGAGCAAAAACTTACTAGCTTAGTTGCAGCAGGATAGCACACATTTAGCCATCCCTCAAATGTCTTAATTTAGTGTTTTTAAAGAACATAAATCTGACTACTGAGTCATTACAGGCTCTTCTCTAGACGGGCATTATGTTCCTACCAAACTGTGCCCCCCTTCTAAACAAAAGGGGTGCATGGTTTTCTCCAGCAAGGAGGCTCCTTGAGAAAGGAGGTTTCCATGGAGACGCATACTTGATTTAAACGATCTGGTTAGGGCTTGAGAAGAAGCTTGGGGGGTAAACACTGGGTGGACACAAACCCCACTATTTTGCAAAGCAACTGGGGTTGCCGTAGTGATTTGTTTCCAACTTGATGCCCCTTTTCAGGGGCCTGGTTTTGAAAAAGTGCCAGAAGTGTTGCCTGGTCAGAAATGTGAGGTGTGTAAAAAGCTGTAGCTTCTTAGCCGAGCTCTCTGTTAGGATCCTAATCCATCTGTCTCTCAAAATGCCACAAGTGGATGTAAGTAGGGCACATCTGCAGCAAAGCACTGTGCAAGATCGGGCCACAGTGGCCTGTAAGTAGGTACGTGCTCCCTTAAAGCCCACCATCCTCAGCTGACAGGAAAATTGGTCCAGCCCAAAGTCCAAGGATAATATTTGTTTGAACCTCGTTCCTAATTAAGAGCTTGCATAATCCATTTGTATGGTGGTTGATGACACCTTCAATATTAAAACTGCTAAAGGTGAAGTCTCATTCTCCATCTTCCCACCATAAAATGAGACTTTTTTATGGCTTCTTGTTTCAACAGTAATAGCCTGTAGATGTATTCTGGGGTTGTAAGCCCAACTGGATCAAGCTTATGGGTGATTAACGCTCCAGGATCTCATCGTTTGTTGCTAATGACAGCTCACAACGTCCAAGATGGGATCTTAAAGAAGCAGCAGCCAACTTTGACAGGGAACAGCCAACAGGAACAAAACTGCAATACAAACGGGAGCTGGACAGAAACTCGCTGCCAAAACAGATGCCTGTGGAGGAGTGGTGGGAAGAGCTACAGAAGAAGAGAGAGCTGGTCCAAGGGGTGCTGGGGTAGGATGAAGCAAAGGTTAAAGCTTCAGTTAACACAGTTGCTGAGGAAATTCAGGGAGTGCCACAGCAGCCTGCTGCATTGCAAGGCAGCAACATCTCTGAAGGAGGAGAGCAGAAAGGAGCCTGGGAACAGAAGAGGTGCTGGAAGTGGAGACTGGAGCAGCAATATGGCTTTGAGTCACAGCCCATGCCAAGAGAGCTGGAGCTAATCCAGGAGGCTTGCAAAAATGACAAAATTCAGCTGAAAAAGGAGAGTGGGAGCTAGAACGGAGGAGATGGCCTTGATGTGCCAAGGAACTGAAGAGAGAGGCCAGATTTCACAGGTATGTAAAATGGCAGAAGCAAATTTAATGCAGGCTTCTGTGGATGAAAGCAGCTCCTTGCCTCTTGGCTTGCAGCATCAGTACAGTGTCTTCTCACCATCAGCACTGCTTTGGGATCGTGTCGGCGGCCGCTGGGCTTTGGTCTTGTGTTTGTAAAGCTGACTTTGCACAGCACCTACTGATTCCTGACTGCAGCTTTCATCTGTTGGCAGATGTCTTTGTGTCGTGTCCCACCTGGAAATACAATACAGGGGCTGTTGCCATTTTAAAATCGCCTAGATAATGTATTTCTCTTCATACTGCGTTGGCGTAACTCTCCTGTAGTGCTGGGTTTGTTTAATGTGCGAGGTCAGCTCAGCCATTTTAAAAATAAAACTGAAACCTTAAATCAAACCTGAGCAAATTACTTAGTTCTCCTCCACTTGCTGTTTCAATGACCCTTGCAGTGACAGTAGAACTGAATGGGGGTGCTTAAAGGAGGGCTTGTGTTTCTCTGATCTACCTTAGATTAATCAGCTCTTGTTTGGTTGAGCAAAGTGACTACACCAAAAGCTGTTGCAGCAAGTGTGATTTTTGCCACTCAGATGTAGTTAATGCTCTGTTAAACATCAGTCTGCCCTGTGGCTTGAGGATGAAGCAGCTGGTGAGGAAAATTGTTGTCTCCTGG